CCAGATAGCAGAGATCAGTTCATCTGGAGAAAATGGTGGACTCGGTGTCATTATACCTTGCTGAAGTCACCACAGCAAATTGACGCTTAGTGCCCAAGATTGGGGCACTCCCCCAGAGGCTCTTTCTAGAGCTCGTTGTATTTATTTCCACAATGGGCCTTATTCCTAGTATATAGAATAAGTGTAATAAGTACATAGATCAGGAGTAGAATATCATCTCAACTCACATAAATTTCTCAGAATATCAATATACATTTTTAAAGTACACCAATTTTAAAACAATTAAATTTAAACAATTTAATATGGTAATTTAAAAGTAGCATTTATAACTTTTTATAGAAATATTCTACATATTGCTTACTTAATATTTTAAGTCTTTTAAATAAAATAGATATATTACATTTACTGAGTATCAAAAAATTAATAATGACTATAATATAATAATTTCTCCCTGACTTTCAGGAGGTGCCAGTTTTTTTAATCTCCCGTATTAGAAACTTATCATCAGTTACAAGCCATTATCATAATATGAATAATATGAATTCCATTTCTTTCCATTTCTGCTGAAATTCTTTAATTGGTCTTTTGTTTACTTGATTAGTTAATTTTGCCATTAAAGCAAATTCAGCTAGTTTATCAGACCAGGCTTCTTTCATTGGACAATCTTCTATTTTCCAAATAGATGCAAACTGTGTCCTTATTGCAGTTAACATATAACAGAGTAGATCCTGTGATGTCTTTTCCACATTGTCTGGAATTATTCCCAGTAGCATTGTCTGTGGATCCAGTGGGACTTTAATTTTAAGATTTTAAAAAATCTCTGCATGAATTTCAATCCAACATTTCCTCATTTTTCCCCACAATCACAGTCCCTTTAAACCCCTGCTTTCCACTCCATCCACAGACCACCATGATGGTAGACCAGTCATGAACTTCTGTTCACAAACAGGGCAAGATTTGTGGTGAATTTTGCTTTGTGGTTCAGTTCATGCCCAGCCCTATTGTTTAGAATGCACCTGCTAGGCTATTGACTGTCTCACTGTGGCTTGCACACATCCAACCCATTTTGTGGCAACTACACTAGCTTCCAGTTGGTTTCCAGGTCAAATTCAAGGTATTAACCTTTAAAGCCCTAAATGGTCTGGGACCATCATACCTAAAGGACAATCTTTCCTATTATGACCCCTCACAGTGCCTTCATTCTGCTACACATGGGGGTTTGGTTCCGCCTGGCCCTCAATTTGCCCATTTGAATGCATGAAGGGCGAAGGCATTTCCCATCATTGCTTCAATCTGGTGGAATGCCTCTTTGCATTCTGCATGGCATGTAAAACAGAGTTATTCCAGCAGGCATTCCACTAATGTAATTTTCATGCCAAAAGTGATTGTCTTGCTGGAGTGAGTTACTTAACATGCCTGGACATTGGGGGGTGCTACATCACTCTAAGTGCCTATAGGTGTTATCTCCTTGAATGAGATGCCTCTCTTTGTCTTAACCTGGGAGCTGCCCTCTGACCACTCCCCTCTTCCTTCATCCTCTCACTTGCTTCACATGGCCTTCCATGGAGACAAATGTCTTTGCACGTGTCTCCTGTAGATACAATGCCCTCATACTACCACATACATGATGCCAGACAAGCTAGCCATTTGTGATAAAGTACTCTTTAGATTAGGCTTCTTTCTCTTTTGATTGCAACCTGAATGTGAAATGGATCTACTTGAATAAATGTAAGTTTACCTTTTTTGCAATATACTTCTTGAGATTTATTTACTGCACTCAGTATCATGCTTCTAGGACTGGGCAAAACTCTGCCATATTAAACCAAATATCCCAATAAGTCTGCTGTATGCTGAGTTTTAATTTGAATTTATTGATATTATGTTTTATTATTGTTATTGTATTGTTATGTTGTTAGTTGCCCCAAAGCTCAGACTGCAGCTCTAATAATAAGCTGAACACATATCGAAAAATACACGCATTGCCCTAGTCACATAAAATGATGACCAGGTATATCAAAAAGATCACAGGTAGTGAGCGCTGCCATTACATGTAACAGGTAGGGTTGCCAGGCCCCCTGGCCACTGGTGGTGGATGGGGGCATAGGATTGCCAACTCCAGGTTGAGAAACTCCTGGAGGTTTGGGAGTGGAGGCTGGAGAGGACAAGGACCTCAGTGGGGCATAATGCCATAGTACGTACCCTCCAAAGCATCCACTTTCTCCAGGGGAACTGATATCTGTAGTCTGGAGATCCCACCTGGAGGCTGGCATCTCTAGTAGGTGTGCCAATACTGAGGTCTGAAAATTGGGTAATACCTTTCCTGTGTTTGCTATATACAGGCTTCCAAATTACAACTTTTATTCTAGAGCTGGGAGAGATGATTTCTGTGGGAAAAGAATGGAAAGTAAGCAAAACTGATAATTTATAACTTTTTTCCCACCATAGAGAACAATGAAGGGGATGGGGCAACCTGTTTGGGGGCCCGTAGAATTGGACCCCCTGGTTCAATGTTCCTGAGAGGCTCCAGCAGCTACCCTGCGATTTCGGAGCCTCTCCCTCAAACCCCCTTCCCTCCAGCCCCCAGAATATACCCTATGTTTTCACTATTGACTTCAATGGCCCATAGGATATAATGGGGCTGAACTGCGGGAACCCAGTTCAGATCAGAGAATCTGATTCGGCCCGCAGCAGCCTGAAAGAGCCCCCGAATGGGCCATTTTCGGGGGTGCATTTGGTTCAGACGAACGAATGCACATCCCTCCTGCAGCCAGCTTGCTCGGGCTCTCTACAGCCGTGGGGATCCTGAGCAAGCCAAGGGAACAGAAGGTGGTGGAGCAGCTGGAGACATTGAGCCTCAGCTCCTCAAGTAATGAGCACTCGAGCCCCGCCCCCAGCAGCCCTCAGGCTGGAGCACCTGGAGCAGTCTTGGGAGGCGGATTGGCAAATAGCAAAACCAAAAGCGCAGGAACTCGAGAGAACTCCAGGAATGGAGCCGGTTCCTCTTCCACAGCCCAAAATGCAACCCATGAACCCTGAGCTTGCTTTTTCTCATTTGTGAGTCTGGCCTCCGCACTCCTTTAACGAGGCAGCCCTGAAGCTTGGGGCGGCGGGAGTTTCTTTGCACACAGCTTGTGCGGCTGGCTGAGTGCCTCTTCTGCTTGCCCACCTCTCGCCTCTGCACCTCATCTTCTGCCAGGCAAGGTAGAGAAGGGGAGATTTGGCCCGGGGTCACTCAGCCAGCAGAGTGAGAATACAAACCTGGGTCTCCCCACATCAATCTGCAACTCTGACCACTGTGCAGTGCTGCCTCTACTGATCTGTAATGTTCCAGAGGTGTTGTAATACTCAGTTTCTCAAACGAGTGTATGCCTGTCTGTTGGTCCACTTAGGAGTCTTGATCCTGGTTGTGTGGTGGGCTAGTTGTGGCAAATGGTAGGGAAGCTCAGTATTTCTGTATACAGTTGTAGAGGCTTTATTGCAATGTGCTATGGACTGATATTATGTTCTTATTCCAGTGTGGGGTGTGTGGGGGGCAATGGAAGCTGAGTGATAGGGTCTCTCCAAGTGATTGGCAGAAGTGAGATGCATCCTAGTCTTGTGTCTTACAGATAATCTTAAAAATAGTCCTTTGCATTTATATCATGCTTTCAACTTTAAAAGGATCATAATACTGATTGTGTGAACTTAGGCAAATCACGAGAGGTAGAGCAGGAAGGGCTGCATCAGTGCTTAGTTCTTGGGAAATGCTGATCGCCACTTTGGGGCCAGGAAGCAATTTTTCTCCAGGCCAGTTTGGCCCCCAGTGATCCTGGAGGGTTTTTTAAATTATATTCTGGGCGTGGAACAGGGGTCCCTGGGGTGTGTGGGGGTATTGGTGAATTTCCTGCATTGTGCAGGGGGTTGGACTAGATGACCTTGGAGGCCCCTTCCCACTCTATGAGTCTATGATTCTATAATTCACCCAGGCTGGCTGTGGGCACGCCAGCACCTCTGTCAGGCAGAAGCGCCTGAGATCCTCCCCCTCCCCTTTCCCTTCGCCTGACTTGGAGGCGAAGGGAAGGGAGAGGGGGGGAAGAATGGATCCCAGGTGCTTCTGCCTGTCAGAGGGGCTGGTGCACACTTCCGGTGATGTCCGGGGGTGTGGCATATGCTGATAAGTTATGCGAATGAGCTCCTGCAGCTCTTTTTCTACGAAATTACCCCTGGCTATCAGCAGTGTAGGAGGCAATGGATAAGCAGACACCCGTTACTGGTGGTGCTGGCTAGATCAGAGCTGAATTGCCCCTATAGTGTCAGCTTATACTACCCCAGAAGCTGCAGAATCTGTGCGTGCTTACAGTACTGCTGGTCAGCATAATGAAGAACAGGCAAAAGGAAGTACTTCACTCAACAAGTAAATACATTATGGAATTCCCTGCAATTAGAATGTAGTGGATGAAGTCTTCAACTGGGGATTAGACATGTTGATGGAGTGGTCCATCAGTGGCGACTAACTAAGACAACTAAAGGGGTTGACCTCTGTGTCCAGTTTGTTGGCCATTTAGGTTGACCAGTGTGTGAAACAGGATGCTGTACTAGATGGACCAGTGGTCTGAAACAGCAGGGCTGCCCTTATGAATTGTGATTTCATGGGGGATTTGAAGTGTCTATATAAAAATGATGAGGATCCACATCTCTGTTGTACATTTGTACCACCAACAACCATACCTCTGCAAACGGCGCGTCTGATGTATGGCGATCATGAGAATCTGCTTTATTACTCAGGGTCACGGAGCCCTGAATCCATGCTTTATTTGTTTTCATTCACGGCCTTACCCACAGCTATGATTTCACGGTGATTTTGGAGAGCCTTCATGCCAAACTCAGGCGGAAGATGCATACACTAACCCCCCCCCCCTCCTTTGGAGGAGGAGGCAGCCGCTCCATTCCCCGGCAAACAGTCACGGACTTCCTTGAGTAGTGCCGCCGCTGCCTCCTCCACTGATGACAGCCGAGGGAATCAGGCTGGACCGGCCTGGCCGGTATTTAAGAGGCGAAGGCCGCAGCCAGCACGACTTGGCCGTTCCCTTATGCCAGCCTTGACTCTGCGACCGCAAGACTGAATTTCTCCCCGCTTCCTCCAGGAAAGGAGGAGGAACAGGAAAAGGAGGGCGAAGGCGGCGGCGGCGGCGCCGACGGGCCTTTGGGCTGAGCGCTCCGCTGTGCTCCCCGGGCCGGCTTGCGGAGCCGCCAGCGCTGTCCTCCCCTCCTCGGCTTTTGGTCTCGCCCACTCCCCTCTCTCTTTCTCCCTGCCATGTTGGATTGTGCGGGCGCAGCCAGGGAGAAGTTGGAAGTTTAGAGCTTTTCGGGAAAGCAGCAGCAGCCGCCGCAAAAGAAAGGGTGAGGAGTGAGCGCTCCCTTTGCCGGGGCCTACCGGGTGCGGCCTAGTCAGCCAGCCCCTCTCCGCCCCCATGCTGCTGCCGCTGCAGCTGCAGTAGTGAGCCAGGCTGCTCCGCCGCACTCGCAGGGGGACGCCGGGCCCGAGTCACCCCGGAGGAGCAGGAGGGCGGCTGAAGGGGGGGAAGGCGACGAGGCCCCTCGGCCGGCCGCGATGAGCAACAACCAGCAGCAGCAGCCCCCGCCGCCGCGGCGGGTCACCAACGTGGGCTCCCTGCTGCTCACCCCGCAAGAGAACGAGAGCCTCTTCGGCTTCCTGGGCAAGAAATGCGTGGTGAGTAAAGGCGAGGCTTCGCCGGGCCTGGCTGGCTGAGCAGAAGCCGCTCTGGGGAGGGGGCGAGGGGGGGGCTGGGTTGTGGAAGGAAGGGAGATGGGGAAGCTGTTGCGGGGAAAGCCGAAGGTGTGTGACTGCAGCCACCTCTAAGCTTCTCGCTCCTGTGGACTTGCCCCTGTGCTCCCGACCCCACCGTATGTGTGAACCCAAAGCTGGAGATCATAATGCGTGTCTGCGTGTGTCTCCAGGGTGTAGGGCTGAAGCCCATCCAGCCGCGAGTTCCATTGACCTCAGTGCGACTTCCTGTTGGAATTCGGTATTCGTTCGAGATGGAACAGTGACATGGGTTGCGGAGAAGGGAGGGGGGGCGAAACATTGGGAGAGATGTGCCACTCCTGCCCCCAGTGTTTTTGTCCCTTGTGGGGAATCCTTTCAGGCCCTTCTTCATCCGAAGGGGGAGAATTCCCCTTTCCAGGCCTTGTGTAAGTAACAGCTGCTTGCTTCCCTCTTTTTTCAGTACTTCCTCCCCACCCCCGTGGTTCCCCATTGTTGGAAGCCAGAGGGAAACAAGCCACTTTCTGCTAAAGCAATTTGGAAGATATTGGGGGTGGGATTTGTTCCCGCTGTTTTGCCTCCTGAGAACACTGAGCTTGGGATGCTTAAGCAACCTCTCCCCCTTAGCATGGGGGCTAGAAGGCTTGGGCACAGGTGAGTAGCCGCAAGTTTGTTATTTGGGTAGAAGCAAGAAAAGCCTCTGATAGCGTCAGATGTGGTGAAACCTCCTGTACCCTTATGTGCCAGGCCTTCGCCTCTGTGCTCTCTTCTTCCCACTGACACGTTGAAACTGCTGTGAGCTCGCTGAAGGAAATAGGCCTGATGTGGGCAGGAGGCCTACAGCAGTCTCTTTCACAGGTGTATACTTGTAACACTCAGTTTTGTAGCACAAATCTGCCTAAAGCTGCAGTGAAGCCATTCAGAAGGCAGGCGTTGAATTGGTTCTTTCCCCCTCCTGCAGGTATGTTTCAGAAGGGGCTGTAGAGTAATGATTTGCAGTTTGCAACAGGAACTAGTCAACAATAGCGTTGTTGCAATATTTGTGTGTGCACGCACATGCAAAAGTTTAGCTAGTTATAACAGGCCTGAATAACTCCATCCTGCTTGCACCTGTAGGACTTTCAGGAAATGGGGTGGTATGACCAGCACAGGCAAAATAGGAATGTACTATATTTTGTTTCCGTGAACAATAGGCTCACATGCACATGCAAAATTCCCCATGTAGAGATACTTCTGAAGGGAACAAAAAACTGTGTAAAAGATGGGGGTGGGGGAAGAATTATGGTAGACATAATTTCATGAATCCTCATTATTAAGATCCCAAACATTTATGCAAGCATGAGTAAAATTGGGGAATCAATTCTAGCATTTGTATCCAGTGTTTCTGTAGGAGTTTAATGTGTAAAATTGTGTCCTCTCTCCCCCCCATGTGAAATTTCTTCTGATTTCTTAGCAGAAACAAATCTTATCTGAACTCTGTTAACTTCTGGATTGATCCCCATAAATATTTTACTTTTTCAGACCTTTGATTTATCCTAAACAATATTATTTACAATCATAGGTAAACTAAGTATTGCAGTTTTTTCCTGATTCCCATGAACTGTAGTCTAGTCAGAAGGAAATAGCACAGTTGAAGATGACTAGATAATTGATTTCGGTGAAAGGCAATCTTGAAAAACATAAATTGGAAATCAGAAATTGGTGAGGTTGTTAGAATGGTGATGCCTGCTTGGGGTTACTGTTCACCAGTAAGTTACAGTTGTGGTTCTGTGGGTTGCAGTTCTCTCACAGGTGAATTGTGATGCCATAGAAGGAGGTGAGCTGAGATACAGGGCTTAATGACAAGTTTAGGTCTAACTCTACATATAGTGTGTCATGAAATAAAACCTATATAAAATGCTATTTTTTAAAACAACAACAACGTTCTGAGCATTTTATGTTGGTGAAGGGGGAACTAACATGGAGTTACTTTGCAAATGGGTCCTAAAAAGTAGAATGAGTTTAGAAATGGGTTCCACTTTTAAAAGTTTGAGAACTGGGTTGTAGGAAGCTAGTAATTGGCACTATTAGTGAGGGATGTAGGTTCCAGGGGCGATGGCAAGAATACAATGTGGGAGACTGGCTTTTGTCTGTGATAGGCTCACTGTAGATCTTACTGAGTTTTCTGAACCAATGGGAACCTCAGAAGGCTTGATGTACTTCTCCCTTATTTCCTTCCCAGTACAGGGCATTCAAAGCCTGGCTGGTTACTTGTACTTCCAGCCCATTAAGAATCTCTTTGTGAGGTAATGTGTGTAAGTTTTTGGTCAGTGTAGGCATACTGGGATGACTCTTAATGACTCCCCCCCCCCCAGATGCCCCCTTCTACCAGCTTTTGGGATGAAATGGGATTTGAACCTAATTACTCACTCCACCTCATATTTGTGTACGCTGACATAATAGACCTCCATATATATTCAAAAAGTAACACCAATTAATCTTTTAATTTTAATAAGAGAAGAAAGAACTGGGTTAGCTTTTTATTCCCCTCTCATCCCTTTTTGTACTGGTTTTTGGAAAGGTTTCAATTGTGAGATGTTAAGAGGTTGTCTATAGAGTAATGGCAACAGAAGTTCTTCCTAGGAAATGCCAAAGAAGACATGAATTCCTCAGGTCTCGTGAAGTATGTATCTTCACTGGGCCAAGAAAGCAGAGTGCCAGCTTCTCTCTTGTCAGTTGGTGCAATGCAGGAGATTGAGTGCCCCACCTTTTATGTGTTTAGTGCAATTCCTCTGGGGGGCAGCCCTTGCTCTTTGTAATGCACTGTGAGCATAGACATCTGAACTGCCTGTACTGTTACTTGACTTGGGAAGAATACAGTTTTTCCAACTTCAAGACTATGAATTAAATTCAGTTGCTGTTGCGTTAAGATACCATCTCAATCGCCAGTGCCACTGGTAACGGCAACTGATACTGCATGGCGAAGAGCCCTGATCCTCTGGACCCTAATTTCTGCCTGTGCCAATTCCCCCCGTATCTATGACATCTGAAGCTGCCTGACATCTGAAGTCCAATCAGCGCTAGTGGATAAGACTAGCACTTTATTATTATGGTTTTAATGGTATTTTAATGTTAATGTTATTGATGCTACTTATGTATTTGGAATTTTATCTGATTGTAAGCCACACTGAGCCGGCTATGGCCGGGAGGGTGGGAGAAAAGCTTAATACATAAATAAAATAAGTTCTGGTAAAAGGAATGGGTAGCTGTGATAGGAAAACTAGGCATGCAGTGTCTACTCAGTTTTAAATGGTTAGTCTATTAAAATGTTCTGACTGACTGAAAAGTGTTTTAAAATTTAATAATTATGTTTTAGAATTTAATAGAATGCAGGAACTAACCCCAGTTTAGTGGTAAATACCATTCTTAAAGAATCATTTCCTCTTCTCTATTATCCGCCTCTAAGTGCCCTAGGACAATAACTCTTGTGACACAAGCACATGTCTAAAAACAAGTGAGCTGTCCTCAGAAATATTCATATGGAAATGTATGCAGATTCATTTATCATAATATTATTGACTCAGGGTTTTTTAATTGGATCATAATGCTTCCAAAAACCTGAACAGATTTTGCAAAGAACTGCAGAATAGGTAATATTCAGGCAGCAGTGTTAGAATAAAGCAAGCAACTGCTAGTATTCTTTGATTATATTACTGAGGAATATGTGTCAGACTCAAAATATTCTATGTGCTAGCCCTGCAGAAATCTAAAATCTATTTTTAAGTTCTTTGGTACCTGGGCATCCTGGTACTTTCCCAGTTTTGCATTGCATACATGAGTGCTGTCTAGAAGAGCATAAGGCTTATTGCTAACACAATTAACATATAACTTTAATTCTAAAGCAGGTTTTGATAAAAACATTTGGAGGAAGCGCAAGCTGGATCTCTTCATTACCCCCACCACCACCGTAGCAATGCTGTACCTTTGAGTCCTTGTCAGTAAATAGGCATGCCTTATTTGTGTAAATACGCATTGGTGTTTGGTGCAATATTACCTAGCTACTGTTGTCTCATACAGATCTAACAAGTAGACCAAAGAGTGCTATAAACTTGTAGTAAAGAATATAACATAAATTGACACTCCTTAGGATTTGTTATGGTTTCAGCAGACCACTATATGGACAAAATACAAGTGTTAATCACTTGCTTCAGAAAGACAATGTCATACTTAAGGTCAATAATGGAGTGTGATACAATACTGTTCTCTCTGGGGCCACGTAATGTAGTGGTTAGAGCATTGGACTAAGATCTGGAAAATCCAAGTTCAAGTTCCTGCTCTGCTATGAAAGCTTTGCTGGGTGACCTTATTCCAGTCACACGCACTCAGCCTAAATGAAATAAAATGGAGGCGAGGAGAACAATATCTGCGGTGCGTAGAAAGGCAGGGTATAAATGAAGAAAATAAATTCCCTCCTTTAGGGCAACCACAGTCCAGTTTTGCTCCATTATTGTGTTGACGCCCAAGTTTTTGTGCAGTTATCTGCATTAAAGACTGTATATCTGCATATTTTTCTTTCTCTTATGAAAGTAAAGTCTTTTTGGTGATTCTTATTCTACCCTTGCTTTAAAAGGAATCTGCCATGCCATTTTAAGTTTAATAACTTAAGCAATTAAGACTTGGTTTTTTAGCATAGTGTGATTGCTTTAGCAGCTGGAATGGGCCAGCTTTTGAATCTGAAAGAAAAATCTATTGATTACTTCATCCTGCAGGTCAGAGCAAAATATGTCTGCAGAGTATACATGTGATATGCTACAGTGCCAAAGTGCTCTTCAAAGAAGTAGATATTGTTATCATCCTACAATATGCGGTCTCTTGTACTCCAAAGAGGACAGCTGGGATAAAAATATGATTAGCTCTATCACATCTGGCCTGACCTTCTGATGTAGCCTCAGTCAACTGTGGGTTCC